TGTCCCTGTCCCCACAGGTGTCCCTGTCCCCATGTGACCAGATCCCTGCTGTCCCTGCAGGTGTCCCTGTCCTCAGGTGTTCTTGTCCCCCATGTGTCACTGTGTCCCCATCCTGCAGGTGACCCTGTCCCTGCCAGGGATAGCCAGGAGCATGGTGAGGGTGACCCTGTCCCTGTCCCCAGCAGGACAAGGCCCAGGTGCCAGCAGGGTGCCAGTGTCCCTGTCCCTGTCCCCAGCAGGACAAGGCCCAGGGCCAGCAGGGTGCCAGCAGGGTGCCAGTGTCCCTGTCCCTGTCCCCAGCAGGACAAGGCCCAGGTGCGGGCAGGGTGCCAGCAGGGTGCCAGTGTCCCTGTCCCTGTCCCCAGCAGGACAAGGCCCAGGTGCCAGCAGGGTGCCAGCAGGGTGCCAGTGTCCCTGTCCCTGTCCCCAGCAGGACAAGGCCCAGGTGCAGGCCCAGGTGACGTCGCTGCTGGGGGAGCTCCGGGAGAGCCAAAATCGCCTGGAGAGGAGCCGGGCAGAGAGGGAGCACCTGGAGCGCAGGTGGGGACATGGGGACACCTGGGGGGACACCTGGGGGACATGGGGACACCTGGAGGGGACACCTGGGGGGACATGGGGACACCTGGGGGTCAGGGACTGTCCCCAAGGGGAGGGGACACCGCAGCAGAGCCGGGCGGAGCGGGAGCACCCAGAGCACGGAGGGCGTGACACCTCTGCAGGTGACATCGGATGACACTTGGGGAAGTGATATCAGGTGACACTGGCGTGTCACAGGGCTCAAGGGATGCTGAGCGATGCCACCAGCTCAAGGAGGTGACGTTGGGTGACACTGGGTGACACACAGAGTCCACGGGGATGCCGGGCGGTGCCACCAGTTTGAGGAGGTGGCACAGGGTGACAGCAGGGTGACACGGTCCCAGGGCCCATGGGGACACCAAGTGGTGCCAGCAGCTGGAGGAGGTGGCACAGGGTGACAGGGGGTGACAATGAGGTGTCCCTGTGTCGCAGGGCCCGCGGTGACGCTGAACGGTGCCAGCAGCTGGAGGAGCTGGCACAGGGTGACTCTGGGTGATAGTGGGATGGCACAGGGTGACAATGGGTGACAATGGGGGGTCCCTGTGTCGCAGGGCCCGCGGTGACGCCGAGCGGTGCCAGCAGCTGGAGGAGGTGGCACAGGGCCACCAGGTGCAGCTGGACCAGCTCCGGCTGCAGGTGACAAACCTGGAAACCGCCCTGAGGGTGGAGCGGCGCGGGGCCACCGAGGAGAAGTGAGTGACAACGGGGACACAGGGACATTCGGGGAGGGGTGAGTGACAATGGGGACACGGGGACATGGGGAGGAGTGAGTGACAACGGGGACATGGGGACATGGGAAGGGGTGAGTGACAGTGGGGACATGGGGACATGGGGAGGGGTGAGTGACAACAGGGACATGGGGAGGGGTGAGTGGCAACGAGGACATGGGGACATTGGGGACATGGGAAGGGGTGAGTGACAATGGGGACATGGGGACATGGGGAGGAGTGAGTGACAACGGGGACACAGGGACATTGGGGAGGGGTGAGTGACAGCGGGGACACGGGGACATGGGGAGGAGTGAGTGACAACGGGGACACGGGGACATGGGGAGGAGTGACTGACAATGGGGACATGGGGAGGGGGGAGTGACAACGGGGATGTGGAGGAGAACATGGTTGAGGTGGCACCTGGGGACACCCATTGATGTCCCCTGTGTCCTCTCACTGTCCCCAGTGTCCCAGGTGGGACTTGGTGGCATTCAAGGTCACCTGTCCCAGTGAGGGGACACAGGGATGGCAGTGGCACTCGCAATGTCCCCAGTGTCCCCAGGGCAGAAGCCATCTGTCCCTGCTGATGTCCCCAGTGTCCCCTTGCTGTACCCAGTGATGTTCTCAATGTCCCCAACGTCCCCATTGTCCCCTCACTGTTCCTTGTCCCCAGGTGGAAGTTGGTGCAGCTGCACCTGTCCCCTCAATGTCCCCAATGTCCCCAGTCAATGTCTCCAATCAATGTCCCTGCGATGTGCCCAGTTGATGTCCCCAGTCACTGTCCCCAATGTCCCCAGTCAGTGTTCTTGATGTCCCCAATGTCCCCAGTCACTCTCCCCAATGTCCCAGGAGGAAGCTGGTGCAGCTGCAGGCCGCTGTCCCCAATGTCCCCAGTCACTGTCTCCAATGTCCCCAATGTCCCCAGTGTCCCCAGTGTCCCCAATGTCCCCAATGTCCCAGGAGGAAGCTGGTGCAGCTGCAGGCCGCCTACCATCACCTGTTCCAGGAGTACGACGCCCACATCAAGGCCAGCCTGGAGGGGGACAAACGGAGCCAGGTGAGGGACAGGGGACACCTGGGGACACCCGGGGACACAGAGGGCCACGTCCCCTCCTCTGGGGACCCCAGGGCAGCCCCTTGTCCCCTGTTCCATTCCCTCTTGGGGACACCTGGAATGTCCCTGTGGCCCCTTGGGTGGTTCAGGTGCCTTCAGGTGAGTCCCCAGGTGACAGTGCCACCCCCCAGGTGGCACAGGTACCCCCCAGGGGTCACTTTAGTGACACAGGAGCATACAGGTGGGTGCTGGGGGTGACACAGGTGACCCCCAGGTGACATCCCCTGTCACTGTCCCCCTGCAGGCGACCCAGGAGGGTCTGGGGGTGACAGAGCTGTCCCTCAGGTGACCCCCCAGGTGTCATTGTCACCCCCAGGTGATGCTGGAGCAGCTCCATGCGGCTGAGGCCACACTGGGGGTGCACTGGGGGTGACAGAGGTGACACAGGTGATCCCTCAGGTGTCACAGGTGTCCCTGTCCCCTTTGGATTTGGGTTCCCTGGTTGATTTTGGGGGTTCCTGACCCCCCGGTGCCCCCAGGCCGACATTTACCGCGCGGATTTCGAGGCGGAGCGCGCGGCGCGGGAGCAGCTGCACGGGCAGCGCGAGGCTCTGCAGGAGGAGCTGAACCAGCTGCGGCTGCGGCTCGGCGGGGACGGGGCCCGGTACGGCACTGACACCCCAGAAACAGCCCAGAACACCCCCAAACCGCCCCAGAACACCCCAAAACACCCCCAAACCGCCCCAGAACACCCCAAAACCACCCCAGAACACCCCCAAAACAGCCCAAAACACCCCGAAAACACCTCAGAACATCCAAAAAACACCCTAGAACATCCCAAAAACACCCAGAACACACAAAACTACCCCAGAACACCCCAAAACCGCCCCAGAACATCCCAAAAACACCCCGAAAATACCCCAGAACACACCAAAACAACCCAGAACACCCCCAAACTGCCCCAGAACACCCCAAAACCACACCAGAACATCCCAAAAACACCCCAAAAACACCCCAAAACCGCCCCAGAATACCCCAAAACCACCCCAGAACACCCCAAAAACAGCCCAAAACATCCCAGAACATCCCAAAAACACCCCAGAACGCCCCCAAAACAGCCCAAAACACCCCGAAAACACCTCAGAACATCCAAAAAACACCCTAGAACATCCCAAAAACACCCAGAACACACCAAAACTACCCCAGAACACCCCAAAACCGCCCCAGAACATCCCAAAAACACCCCGAAACTGCCCCAGAATACCCCAAAACCACCCCAGAACACCCCAAAAACAGCCCAAAACATCCCAGAACACCCCAAAAACACCCCAGAACGCCCCCAAAACAGCCCAAAACACCCCGAAAACACCTCAGAACATCCAAAAAACACCCCAGAACATCCCAAAACAACCCAGAACACACCAAAACTACCCCAGAACATCCCAAAAACACCGGAATGCACAGCATTGGGCAGGGGTTGGGTGCATTTGGGGTTCCCTGGTTGGATTGGGGTGGATTTGGGGGTTCCGAGGTTGGATTTGGGGTTCCCTGGTTGAATTTGGGGTTTCCTGGTTGGATTTGGGAGTTCCCTGGTTGGATTTTGGGGTTCCCTGGTTTGATTTTGGGGGTTCCTGACCCCCCCAGTGTCCCCAGGCCAAGATTAGCAGGTGGATTTCCAGATGGAGTGGGTGGCACTGGGGGGGATTTGGGGTGGATTTTGGGGTTCCCTGGTACGATTTCTTGTTCCCTGGTTGGATTTTGGGGTTCCCTGGTAGGATTTCGGGTTCCCTGGTTGGATTTTGGGGTTCCCAGGTTGGATTTTGGGATTCCCTGGTACGATTTCGTGTTCCCAGGTTGGATTTGGGGGTTCCCAGGTTGGATTTTGGGGTTCCCTGGTTGATTTTGGGGGTTCCTGACGCCCCGGTGCCCCCAGGCCGACATTTACCGCGCGGATTTCGAGGCGGAGCGCGCAGCACTGGGGGGGTTGGGGTGGATTTGGGGGTTCCCTGGTTTGATTTGGGTGGATTTGGGGTGGATTCTGGGGTTCCCAGGTTGGATTTGGGATTCCCTGGTTGGATTTTGGGGTTCCTGACCCCCCGGTGCCCCCAGGCCGACATTTACTGCGCGGATTTCGAGGCGGAGCGCGCGGCGCTGGGGGGGTTTGGGTGATACCCCAGAACACCCCAAAACAACCCAGAACACCCCAAAAACACCCCAAAACTGCCCCAGAATACCCCAAAAACACCCCAGAACATCCCAAAACAACCCAGAACACCCCAAAACCACCCCAGAACATCTCAAAAACACCCCAGAACACACCAAAACATCCAAGAACACCCCAAACCACCCTGAAAACACCCCAGAAATACCCTGGAACACCCCAAAACTGTTCCAAGAGCACCCCAAAACCATCCCAGAACACCCCAAAACCACCGTTGAACACCTCAAAATCACCCCAAAAACACCTCCAAACACACTGAAACACCCCAAAACACCTCCAAAATGCCCCTAACACCCCAAAAACCACCCCCAAACACACCAAAAGTCCCCAGCTTCCCCCAGACACCCTAAACTCTTGCAAAACAACCAAAACCGCCCAAAATCTCTCCCGAAACGCCCTTGGGGACCACAACAGATACCCCCCTCTAAACCGACCCCAAAGCACTCAAACACCCCAAAACCAACCCCAAACACCCTGAGGATCCCCCAAAACACCCCCGGGCACCCCCGTTCCCCCTCTCCCCCTTCCCTGACATCCCCCAGACCCCCCAAAATCCCCCAACTCCCCCAAACTCTGGGTGCTCCCCCCCCACTCCCAG